GGGGGGGCAAACCCTCTACCGTACTTCCCAGTTGGTGGCTTTGGGTTTTCACCCCTTTCGTCAACCGTTACCACCAGGGTGAGGCGTTCCAGGCTAGAGGATATAAAAGTGTCGTATGAGACTCTGTGACGTAATCTCTGACAGTCAAAATGACTTTATATTGGACAAAATTTGACAAAAATGTCAACATGTCATCTCGACTGTCAGAAATGACGTCAAAAGATGTCCCATGACATGTTCATGTCCTCTGCGCAGGTGACCATACATCAATTGAGGTGAGTCGGGTGTTTTCATTATTATTACAATTAGTTCAGTTTTATCGGCCTCTCGCACATTAACGCCCAACGGAACGCGCGCGGTGGCAGTGCGGGTTGGGGTCGGCGAACCTCCCCGCTACAGGCGCCCGCCCCAGCAGCGCCCCTCGCTCTGTCCAGCTCCGGGCGAACGGAATTAGGCGTATTAGTTATTGACACCGAAAGCGATGCCGCGGTGGCCTCAGATGCGCCGCCCGCGCCTATTCACACCCGCCGACCTGCTGCGCTACAGTTGGGGGGGGGGTCTTCTATTCCTGGCCTGTTCAAGCATACTGCTCCAACCTTGGTATTGCTTGGACGCCGAATGGGTCGCGGGATAAGAAAAGGGGGGCGTGCAATCTGGTGCAACAAAGTACCGGCAGCTAGTCAAGCCAAACAGTGTAGTGGGACGCAATACTTCAAATAAAGGCACCTCACTCCCATAGCGTATTTTATGACATGCTTCTGATGCGTCAACAGAAATCTCCTCAAAAACAAATTGGAGGGAAGAAAAAAAGTTTGTCAAAAGTCGTCAACAATGCGTGGATGCGAGTTTGCATCAACGCAGAATTCCTCTAAAGTGTGGGTGGGGAAGGGAATCAAAAAATTTCCTCCACAGCATATTTTGATAGCTCACAAGCGTAGATTTGAAATGATGTCCGCGCATAAAGACTCCACAGTGAACTGTGGCACTCGAGTGGTTCTTAGCATCCCCCGTCCCATGAAGTCCAGGTGGTTGATTCGGCATTCTTGTCATCCATCGCCCGTCATATATTTTTACGTCGGTGTTTCAATTGATGCACCCTGTTTTTTCCGGCAGCGAGTGGCACGGGTTGGAGTGAGGACGGCCGCGGGTTGAGCTACTTGATAAGACCGCCCCCATCTGGATGCACCCCGGGCGGGCGGGCGTTAACCGTTAGGCGGCGGGCTGCTGGTAGGGCCGGGCCGGGGCAGCCGGGGCAGGCAGATGCGTCCGCTTGTTTGATTTATTTAGTGGGATTTGGGGCACGGGCTGGGACTTGTGTTTGAGAGTTTAAGGTTGGGTGATACAGAGATAGTGAACTGGGTGAAAGGGGTGCCCACGGGGCGCTTGCCCTCACGACCCGCACCAAACCTCAAGCCCCGTCCCGCCCCGCCCCGCCCGGTGGCGACCTCATACTTAACCGGGCGCGGCGGCGGGCGCGGACTAGTCAGTGACTGGAACGGGAACGGTGCACCACGCGGCAGCGGACCGCGAGCCGCGCCGAGCACAGCCGCACACAGCCGAGTCGGTGCGAGCCCTGCCGAGGCGGCCTGAACCGGATCTCTTGCGAGCCGAGCCGGGGCGCTCAAAGCAAGCGGAAATGGTGACGTACCGAGCTGGTAGTCTTTGTTGATTTTGCTGAGGGCACTGGGCGCAGGCGGCGCGACCACACTGTCTAGTGTTTTTAATTGGGCTTGTACGGACCAAAGTTTAGCCCGCCATTTGCATTGGGTCAGCCAGAAAGTACGTCTGCCATTCACAATGACGAACCTGTCAAGATCGCACTCTGCGAGCTCTCATAGCGCCCGCTAGATAGGCAATATCCTACGCTGCAGTGCATGCGTGTACTGCGGGGTGGCCTACCGCGAGTCTCGCAGGCGCCCAGCTTCCGTAATTTGCCGAAAAACGGACCCTTTCTGGACGATCAGTGTGGCTAAAATTTTTAGCGATACCCACCCAATTGAAAATAGTACTTGCCCTGCTCCCATTTACACAGTGCTTGTGCTTGCAGTGGGTGGCCCAGGCGCTGGTGCAGGTTCTGCTGTGGTCCTTGTGGTGCAGCCCGGTCCCGGCCGGCGCGCTGGAGCTTGCGGTGGACGCCCCCACGGCCGCGGGCCTCCCGACCTTCCCTAAGCTCAGGTGAGACCTAACGATCGGTTTATTCCACCGTCGATCGGAGAATCTTCTTAATTGGTGAAGAACAATGACTGCTGGACGAAAAACACGGCCCCGGGTCTACACTTGTAAAACACTGGAAATCCTGGGTATGATCACCTTGCCCAGAGTGGCGGAGCGTAGCGTGAACCAAAACGGAGCACTATAACCTACGAGAAGCAATGATTTATATCGCGGTTCAAATTCTTTTCTCGAAGTGCTATGTGAACGCATAGGTGTACATATATAAAGGCTGCACATTGATTGAAACCTTGTCAAATACTACTTTCTGGATGTATAGCGTAGTTTTGTTTTGTTGCTTTCTGCTTTGTTTCGGCTCCCGCCATGCTCCGCCACTCTGGGCAAGGTGTTCATCCGGTGAAGGGATGCTCGTACCCAGTCAAACGGATTTTGTCAAAGTTACATCATTTTGATGTTATTCTCAAGATTTGGTCATTTTCGTTTTACATCTTGGTGTCATTTTGAGATCATTTGATGTCATTTAATGTCAAAATGACATCAAGATGTAAAACGAAAATGACCAAATCTTGACAATAACATCAAAATGATGTAATTTTGACAAAATCCGTTTGACTGGGTAGCTTGCATGACTGCTCTCCTGGCTACGCGCCTAAGTCGCCCCGACCCCTCTCCTCATGATCCATGGGGACTTAATTCGGACAATCCAGTGTATACATACACCTACCCTGACAATCTACGGTAATCTTAAAAATCCGAAATTCAATGCCACGACGCTTTTTTGATAGGAGGGTGGAAGTAATGCGTTGTGTCTAGCTACATATATTAAAAAGTGTTTTCATTATGTGAATAACCAGCGCCGGGCGCCTGCGAAACTCGGGGTAGGCCGACCCGCAGTACACGTATGCATTGCTGACAAGATGTTGCCTACCTACAAGGCGCTACGAGAGCTTGCATTTGGCTAAACTTGGCAGTTTCGTAACGGCGGATGACGGACGTACTTTCTGGATGATCCCTGGGTCCAGTGAGGCTGACGTAAGTCGGCTTGTCTAGAGGGTGCGACAACTTAGTTACTTAGTTGAGCGAGCACCTGTTTGACTGCTGGACAGGACAGGACACCCAGGGCTTGCAGTGTCCAAGCCTACGCTTCCGCATCAGGTGGAGTGCCATGTTCTTCATCTAACGCCATCGCGTGCCAGGGTACCTACCTGAGCCCGCCTGGCCCGGCCCGCCTCCTGGCCCGAGTCAGGCCCGGCGTGCGCGAGCGAACGGAGCCGTAGCCGAGCGTCTGGAGACGCTGCGCCTCTTGGCACTCCTGCGTAGGGTTCGTATTTTTCATGAAAAGTATTTTCGAAGAAAATTTTCCTGAAATTTTTCATATTTTTCAGAAAAATTCGGAAAAATATGAAAAATACATTTGTTATGGCCCTTTTTCTATTTCAAGTGTTTTTTTATACACTCCAGTTATTTTAACTAGATCTTTGATGAAAGCGCAAGCGAACACCTTTGAAAGATGCGCGCGCGGCGTGCGCCATGACGTGAACGAAACCGAAATAACTGCAGAGCGATGGTTTGGTCAGTTTTTTCTGTT